TTTGTATTTATATTTATATTCATTATGTGTATAAGCATCAGTGAAAAGAATTTTACTTGTGACAATAAAGTATCTTGTATAAGCTTACATTCTGGGATGGGTTGGGTTTACCCACACTTCTGTTTATAACAAGAACACATACACTGGTCTTCTCACTAAATAATAGGCATTATCCGCACATTTGCTGATAGGACATTTAAAATTAATAATGCTTAATGAGATTTCACAAAAATATAAATGCGTTGAAGAGCTATTTATGTGTACAGTATTCATATGTTTTTATCCATTAGTGTGAAAAGTGCAAGGATGGTTTTGTAGGATCACCCAATCTGGGCCGGCCATGCTATAGATCATTGGCCTGTTTGCCAATTCCTAAAGGTAAATAATTTCATAATAATATATAAACATCTTTTACTTTTTGTTTTCCTCATTGTAGTTTAGTTCAGTTTCATTGTTTCTGACATCCAAGTCAATCTTTGTCCTTTTTTATTTTAAAATTTCTAATTGGAATTTTAACAGGTGCATCTTCAAGCCACCTGCGTAGATGACTGCTTTTGTTATTTTGTACACATTTTCAGTTGGAAACATTCTCTGAAACTTTTCTGTTATAAATATCTTAATATTTGAAGACACATGGAAAGTATTGTTGATGTAATCAGTGAGAAGATTTCCATGCACAAGAGACAACCTTTCCCTACTACCTACTTTGTACACATATCTGGATATAAATTCATGGGTCAGATAGTTATTCATAATTATACACTTTTTGTTCACCAATATGATGACCCTTCCAGCAACAAGGCTAATATGCATTAATTGTTGTTAACAATGTATAATGATTTAATTGATCTGGAGATGGTGGGTTCGAGTCCCACCCGAGAACAGCTTGCGATTTTTTCGCAATTGTTTTCAAACGTACTGAGTATTCAGTACATTTCCACGTCAGGTAGGGCAAAATTACACCTATAATGATTTAACTGTTATTAATTTTCTCATAGATTATGCTTCGAATGACTGTGATTCTGTGGCAGTAGAACTTGCTCAAGGGAGGACTTCATTCTTCCACATCGAAGGTAAAATGGGTCTGTTTTTATTGAGCGATATCCAAGTAAACCATGGGATGTTTGACATCTTTATTGCTAGCAATGAGTATCTTCTTATGGTAGTGACCAACAAAACATCAGGTGTACAGATGATTCACATTAATGATAGCGTCAGAATCAACAGTAACGAAGTAGAAATCAAAACACGTCGCTCAACTAAAGTCATGCATCTCAAGAGCGATAGTTCATTCGACAGAGCCTATTATAATACATCAATTGCAGATAAAAAAAGGGCTGTTGACAACAATGCTCTAACTAAAAGTGCTGTATATAAAACTGAAGATGTTTTTAAATTTTATGAAACGACAGCTGATGGAGTGAATAACTTCCTTTACATTACATTCTCAAGATTTGCTGTAAAAATTAATGATGTCAGAGATCGTCTTGTTGTACACTTTCAACACAAACGTCAGACGAATCCTAAATACTTCATAGCATTTGTGTCAAAAGGAGACGGGGAATTCCAGTCTACAATGGCTTTGATTAAACTCAGTAAGCTCTCTAAGGCTCACATCGATCTATTTGTATTCTTTTCCGTCTTCTTTTCATCATTCTTCATCTTACTGTCTCTGTGTGTGTTAATATGGAAAATCAAATTATGGCGAGATAATCGTCTAAGGTTTCGACGTCAGACTATGGAAATGGAAAGCAGAAGAAGTCGACCTTTTGGTGTTGTCTTTGTCATGATTGATCAAAAGCGCACACGGCACCAACGGAAGTCACGCCATGGTCATCGAAACCGTGGAGAAGCACAACAGATGCCGACTCACCCCAACAAGGTTAGTCTTCCTTGCTTTTGGCTGTATTTGATGCCTGAACTTTGTCATCTTTCTGTCTATTAGTACTGTACTGTATCATGCAAATTAATATTTAATCCAAAATTTGAATTGTATTTCAGCAACCACCATCATTTATCACCTTAGAGCCGACCTTTGATGACCTTGCCACAGTGTGCACAGTGCTGATGACTTTGCCTGGAGGAGATTTGGCACCTTCTAGAGGTTGCCTTGGATCATCACTTTTTAGTTACCGACCTCCACCACCCAAGATTCAAGATAGTCGGCAGAAAAATGCAGAGGAAATAAAACCCAGACTGGCTACATATTATTCAAGAATGAGGCAAGGAGCAGTGGCTAGAGGGCGCACACATGGGCAACCTCCTCCACCACCAGAATGGTTGTAATTTTTCAGATATCAATTTGCATTAAAGCTGTGCTAAAATGTAACCCTCCACAGTAACCATTCTACAATGTGATGTTTAATATATTGGACATAATTGACCAGTATAATTAGGTGCTGTAAAGCCCTGGTTCTTAAACCCTTTTTCTTACTGGGGTCCATTTTTACAATGTCGCAGTTACATGGAGATGCTGCTGACTTGAAATGTCAGTCTTGTACTGTCTACAATGAACTCACTACCCCACCCCTCAAAAATAGAAGTACAGAAAACATAAAATCTTTATGGGATAGATTTTTTCTGCTATAAATTTCAAGCTTTTATGTTAAATTTTCTGTATAATAAAAATTAATGGAACGTTAATGGGTATGTTGTCAGCTTAAATAAAGAATGCTTCATTACTATTTGGAGGGACATCAGAAAATGAAACAGTTTTCCATTTTAGTTGAGTTTTGATCAATTCGCAAGAAATAAACAATTCACACATTTTAATAATTTTCGATACCTCATAGGTCAAATTTTGAAACTTGTTTTAGACTGCAGTC